GAGTCGGAGGTTAACTGACTGAGCCAGCCAGGCACTCCACATCTGACTCTTGAACTTGGGGCCATGAGTTAGAGCTTCATGTTGGGTGTAGAGGTTACTTAAAAAAAAAAAAAAAAAAAGAGTCAATCCCAGGGCACCTTTCCCCATTACCTTCCTTCTGGTCCACATAAGCAGGTCCAGCCTGCTTCCCCATGAGTTTCTAGCCAGACAATTCTCTGGCTGGAGAGCTGCAGGAAACACCAGGTTCAGACTACTGACAGGGAATAATGCCACTTACCCCTTTGTGTGGAAGGTTGTCTGAGACCTCTGTATGATGGAGAATGACAGAGTGGGACCTCACCCAATTTTATGTTCTTCCTGTATAGTCTTGCCTGGGAATCACTTCCCATCGCTCCCCAAACTTGACGAGTTACGGTCTAGGTCTTCTATGGATGTCCTCTATCTCGCTTTTCCTTCATCTGCCCTTTTCACAATGTATATAAGCTATAATCCTGCAGACTGGGTCTGTAGCCCTTCTTGTTGTAGCAAAGGTTTCCTTGGTATTTGGGGCATTTCTTCCTTAGTCCTAAATGACATCCTCACGGCTCACAAGTTTTTCACTAGTTGCTCCCAGATGGTGGTTTGAGCTTTGCACCACAGCCTAGAGAGAAAGGTTCCTCAGTGCCTACCCTTCCTATAACACAGGGTCCCAAACCAGTTTATTCCTGTGTTTCATGAGTTTTCCCTAAAGTTTCCTCCTGATTTCTCTTCTACCTCTCCCCTCCCTAGTGTCACAGTGCAGAGAAATTGAAAGTCCTTTCCCCATGGATTATAACACTTGGTCACCCTTCCTGATACTGGTTACATTTCCCCCTGACTGTTCATAAGCTTTTCAAACCCACTGTTTTTATGTGAAGAAAATGAGTATGTCCTGGAGGGTGGTTCTACTTATGTGAAGTGTAGGTGATAGGTCTAAAGGCATGTCCTTTGTGCCTTTGTGCCCATGGGGCCCTTCCTTAGGGCATGTATGTATCCCTGTAGCTCTCTCCATGGTTCTGCTGCAGTTGCTGACAGTGTGTGTGCTTGTTCCATTGGTGCAGTTATATAGACAGAGTTCTGTATTTCAGGTGCAAGTTCCTATATATATTTCTATTGGATGGAAAAATGCATCTTAAAACAGGTTGGTGGAGGTTTGGGGGATTGGTGATCTGATTGTTAAGCCCTGAAAGTGACTAAGGAACAAATAGAAGGAATTAAGTAGATGGGTGCTACCATGGCTGGAATACTTGGCTTTCTTGGTTCTTGTGCATGCTTCTGTAAGTACACTCCAGGGGCTAGAGAGCTGGAGAAAGAACGGGTTTCTTTTAGTGGTCCTATTGCACATTCTACCCCATTTGGCTGCTGCAGCTTCAGATTTTGCCATATTCTTGCAGAAGACTTGGAGTTCTGTTCCTAGTTGAGAATGGGGTACCTTAAAGCCATCCCATAATTCTGGTTTAGAGCAAAAACAGCCAAGCTCATTTCCACCTCCTGTCTCCTGGTACTGATCCTAGCGGTAAGTAGGGTAGACCAGAATTTGGATGCCTTAGGACCCATGTGTGTCAGACCCTAGACCTTTGCCCCAGGCCGTGGAAGACCAATCATAGGAGCCATGGATTGAAGCTCACTTTAGGGTTGTTGGGGTGGAGCCTATACTACAATATAGCTGTTGATGTGCCAGGTGCTTGAGTTGGGTCTACTGCTCCCCAGGAGAAGCAGCACGACCTGGTGCTCACCTCTAGCATTCTGCATAGGGCCTACTGACTTCTGTCTACCAGAGTGGCCCACTGCGCATTTCTGAAGCAGGAGCACTGCTCCTGTGGACTTCTGGTCTGAGAATGGGGTTAGGGAGGAATGCTTCCGGGCACTGGGAACATGGAATGGGAAACCTGACTCCACAGTCAGCCCTGCTCTTTTGTCTCAAAATGCAGGGTTCCTGGTTAGGACAGTTGCTTAGAGTCAGTTGCTGTCTACTGCTATGCATGTACATGGTGTCTCCAGACCAGGGTATCCAGGTGTAAGGGAACATGTTTGAGGGCAAGAGGAGGAGGAGGGATATCTGGCTCTCTTAACTCCCACTAAAAATATACACAGTTCGAACTGAAGCCAACCTGTCCTGGTTGTGAACTCGTAAAATGCATGACACCACACCCCTAATCATCCCATACCAGGTGTTTGCCATGGTTTTCTTTAAAATGTTTCTTTTTTTTTTTTTTTTTTTTGGTTTTCAACTTTTATACACAAGTCATATTCCCTGAAAGCACAGAGTGAAAAAGCTTCTTTCCTCACACACGTTGCTAAGAAAGTAGTTTTATACACAGAATCTCAACAGGAGAAGGTAAAGGATAGGGAAGGAGGGAGGGCGGGGTGTAAAAGAGATGCTGAGAGGTGGGAAGGTTGGCAGCAAGATTGAGACCACAGTAGGGCCTGCATTTATACCTGACATCATCAGAATGACTGGCTCTGCCCCACCCCAGTTTGCTAGAGTAGGAGCTTTTAATTTTAGAAATGGACCAGAAGTGCGATTCGCAGAACCTGTGGGCACTAGGGACTCAGCTGACTTTTCCCTCCCCCCCTCTCCCCTCCCATCTTCTGGGCACATAAGCCACCGCTTTGGTATTAACCAGTTCACAGGGTGGAGTGACGGGCCAGGAAGTCAAAATCCTAGGGCTGACTGAATTTGTGTGTCTGCATATTAAATGGATGATGGTAGCGGAAGAAGCCTGAAGGGAGAAAGTTTGCAAAGAGACTCCCTTGAGAGGGGAAGTCTGGGGCAACGGGAGTAGCAGAAATTACCTGGAGGACTAGGAGCTTTTGCAAGCTTTTCTTTGTTGAAATAAAGCACCTGCTTTTCTACCCTGTGCCAATTTAGCTGGGCTTTGAGGTAGCCAGTTACCACCTGATCCTGGCAGGAACAATGAGGTTAGAAGTGGGGGACTCTCTTCTAGCTCATTCCTCTTTCGTTGGTCCCCTTGGTGACAGCACCCTATCAGACATTCTTCACCTTGTGCTTCAGTCACCTACTTGCCCACCCACCCCCTCATCTGTCATGAGCTCCAGAGCCGTGTGGGCCTCCCGTACAGCCTGACTCCTTTGGTGGCACCTCCAGCAGCTGCTGCTTGCTGGTGGGAAAAAAGGCCAGGGCAGAGGATGAGGGAAGAACACATATGGAGAGCAAGGGACCCCACAAAGGCAAGGAGTCCAAGAAGTGACCAGAAACGGGAAGGGAGATAGAAGGGTTTTGTGAAAGAAGCAAAAGGAAGTAGTGGTTAGCTGCACAAAAGAGAGGCTTACCCAACTGCCCTGTCCACCCCTTTCTTCCTTGGACCTCCGGGATACATCTGGTGGTACTGACTTTTCTAACTAGCAGCTAGGAATGAGGGGATGGTACCTGTCCTGATAAATACTCAGTTCAGGGGCAAGGGTAGGTCTCCCCCGTGTCTGAGCCCGTCTCCCCATTACCAGCCCCCACCTGAGGCTGGGCATGACCAAGGCCAGGCTGCATGGCTTTCCATCTTGAGGATCACCAAACCCACACAAGGACTTAAAGCCATTAGATCTTCCAAAGACCAGTGGTTTAAAGAAACCCTCAACATGGAGGGGAAGGTAACACAAACAGGAAAAAAACACTTGTTTGATGGGAGACTTTTCAGTTTTTTTTTTTTT